AAGAAAAAAGCAACAAAACTAATACTTGGTTTTTTGAAAAGATAAAATTGACAAATCTTTAGCTAGACTACCAAGGAAAAGAGAAAGAGAACCCAAATTTAAAAAATTAAAAATGAAAAGAGAAATTGCAACTGATGCCAGAAATACAAAGGATCATAAGAGAATACTAGAACATTTATATGCCAACAAATTTCATAATCTAGAAGAAATAAATTCCTAGAAACATGCAACCTACTAAGACTAAATCATGAAGAAAAAGAAAATCTGAACAGAACAACAGAAAATAAGATTAAATCAGTAATCAAAAATCTCTTAGCAAAAAGAAGCCCAGGACCAGGCGGTTTTCCTGGTGAATTCTATCACTCAAAGAAAAATTAACTCCAATTCTTCTCTAACTCTTCCAAAAAATTGAAGAGGAGGAAACACTTCCAAACTTATCGTACTCTATATCAAAGCCAAACAAAGACACTACAAGAAAAGGAAATCGTAGGCAAATAGCTCTGATGAACATAGGTGTAAAAATCTTCAACAAAAATCCTAGCAAATCAAATTCAATAACATATTAATCTCTGGGATGCAAGAATGGTTCAACATACACAAATCAATAAATGTGATATACCATATTAATAGAAGAATAGACAAAAATAATATGATCATCTCAACAGATACAGAAAAAGGTGTTCACAAAATTCAACACCTTTTCATGATAAAAATGCTCAACAAATTAGGTATAAAAGAAATGTACCTCAACAGAATAAAGGCCAAATGTTACAATCTCATAGCTAATATCACAATGGTAAAAACTAAAAGCTTTTCTTCTATATCAGGAATAAGACAAGTACATCTCTTCTTGCTTCTTTTATTCAATATAGTACTGGAAGTCCTGGCGAGAGTAATTAGGCTAAATAAATAAATAAATAAATAGTAAATATAAATATATAAAAATTAAAAGGCACCTAAATTAGAAATGAAGAAGTAAAATTATCTCTCTTTGCAGATGACATATATAGAAATCCCTAAAAACTTCACTAAAAATCTGTTCAAGCTAATAAATGAATTTGGTAAAGTTGCAGGATACAAGAACAATATACAAATATATGTTGCATTTCTATGTATAATAATGATCTACCAAAAGTAGAAATTAAGAAAACAGTCCCATTTACAATTGCATCAAAAAGAATAAAATACCTGTTCATGAATTGGAAGAATTAATATTAAAATATTCATACTACCAAAGAGATCAATAGATTCAATGCAATCTTTATCAAAATCCCCATGGCATTAGGAAATACAAAAAAAAGATCCTAACATTCATATGGAAAAACAAAAGGCCCTAAATAGCCAAACAATCTTGAGAAAAAACAAATCATATTTCCTTTTTTCAAGCTATTGTAATTGAAACAGTATGGAAGATATACAAATGTCCAATAAGCACATGAAAAGATGCTCAACATCATTATCATTAGGGAAATGCAAACCAAAACCACAATGAGCTACCATCTTACACCCATTAGGATGGCTACTATGAAAATAATAGAAAATAAAAGTGTTGGCGAAGATGTAGAGAAATTAGAACCCTCGTGCCCTGTTATTAGGAATGTAAAATAATATAGCCTCTGCAGAAAACAGTATGGCAGTTCCTCAAAAAAGAGAAAGTAGAATGGTAGCCGCCAGGGGTGGGGGAAGGAGGGAATGGGGAGTTATTGTTTAATGAGTAAAGAATTTCAGTTTTACAGATGAAAAGAGTTATGGAGGTAGATGGTGGTTTCACAACATTATGAATGTACTTAATACCTCTAAACTGTACACTTAAAATGGTTATGTTGAGAATTTTATGTTCTGTGTATTTTACCACAATAAAAAAAAAAATGGGGGAAAAAAACAGTGTGATGCTGGCATAAAGACAGACATAGACCAATGCAATAGAATAGAGAGCCCAGAAATAAACCCATACATATATGATCAATTGATCTTCAAAAAGGGGACCAAGAATACATAATGGGGAAAGGATACTCTCTTCAGCAAGGTATTAGGAAACTGGATATCCACATGTAAAAAGAATGAACTCATACCCCTACCATACACTATACACAAAAATCAACTCAAAATGAATTAAAAACCTAAACGTAAGACCTGAAACTGTAAAACTTCCCAAAGAAAACATAGAGGAAAGCTTCTTGACTTTGACTTTAGCAATGATTTCTTAGATTTGACACCAAAAGTAACAAGCAAGAAAACCAAAAAAATACACTTAGGATTTTTTAACATAGCTTCCAGGAAAGAATCAATTATAATCACCATATCCAACACTAACTATGTGTTAGCCTCTATTCTAAGCATCATTTAATCCTCACAAGAACCCTAAGAGGCAGGTACTATCATCATCCTCTTTTTACAGGTAAGGAAACTGAGGCAGAGAATGGTTGAGTAATTTGCCCAAGGTCACACAGCTAATAACTGGAGTTGTTAGATTGCTAATCCAGGCAGACTGCTCAGAGTCTGTGTGCTTAACCACAACATAATACCATGTTAGTGAAAATCTCATGATTCCACCTTCCTTCTAGAGAAAAAAGGGGATAAAAACAACTAAGTGTATTCTAACTCCCATCAGTCTAAGGTTAAGCAAAGTCACCAGAGTCTCCCCAAACAAACCAGGGAAGGCATTTTATGGAAGGAATTGCACCAGAATCTGTGTCTCAGAATTAAAAAAAAAAAAAAACTAAGAATTTAGTGACAAAACAAACCTCACTCATGTTCAAGAAAAATACACATCTAAACCCATCTAATAGAAATGTAGAACATGAATTGTAAACAATGGCAAAAGATTGTGAAGCATGTTTGAAACTAAAAACTAAAATTATCAGGAGAAAACTAGTGTACGATCATTAGAATAAGATAATATAATGAAAAACTTCATCCTGAGAGAAGCAGACATTAACACTGCATAACTTAAAGTTTAGTCCAATTCGACTATTTTTGAGTACCTACAATATGCACATTGTATAATGAATGTTCAAATACCTAATAGATTCTGAAGAAATGGTAGTTACATGGCTGAATACCTGTTTCTTACAATGAATAAAATAATCACTCCTAAGGAAGAAATATACAGATGGAAATGGCCTAGAGAATTTAAGTCTATTCCCCACTTCCAGAAAGGACTAAAGCATACCTAAACTTTTGTAGTAACTATTAGCTTAGAGGAAATCTATGGTTAAGAAAATTCAAGAGATTTACCCATATGAGTGAATAAATGACAACATTTTAAGGAGTTAAGCATTATACATTGCAGTTCTACTTTGATATAAAAATGCTTTGTGATCTGTATTGCCACTTAGCTTCAAAGCCAACTCATCTCTAAAATGCTTCTAATAATATGTTTAACTTATGTCACAAAAGATTATGTTAATTAGTATTTATAAACTATCTAGAGATCAGTAGATTATGTTAATAATACCTCATAATATCTCTTATCCAAGAAACTCAAGACTTATAAACTATTACACTGACAACATACTCTTTCTTGCTTTATTCATGAGAAACATGAAAAAAATATTAAAATTTTGGCCAGGTCACAATAAAATCAGCAACAAATCTCTGAATATGAGCTGCATCTCTTAACTTATCTAACATTGTTCTAAACATATGCCAATGGTCTGGATTATAGTTTATAGTGATTACCTTAAAGTAATTTTGGTAAAAAAAAAAAATCCATGCATTCTGGTCCACCAAATATTCCATACATTTTAAGGACAATAATGTTGAATATTTTTCAAAGCATTTAATATCCATGACATTGAAAAATCTCAAGCAGAAAAAAATTACTGTTTCAAAACTATCCAAACCCATAATCAGTAAACCAATCAATTTGTACCATTATAAGTGACAGAGACCTGACCCTATCTGACATGGCCACTTTATTATAATAATTTACGTAATTAACATTTATTAAATGTTTGTGCCCTCCAGGCTGTTTTATATAGTCATTAATTATTGGAACTGCTCAACATTCAGTTGAGACTGTTCAGTGTTATTATTTTCATTTGCCCAGAAAGGAAAGGAAGCACAACCAGATAAGTTAACTTCCCATGGGCAGCAAGGCAAGAGAATGAAAAGTCTGCTTACTTATGGCAACTAATCTTCTATCTATAGTTGCAAATTTTGGCTTTTTAAGTAATAATGAAAACACCCTTCTCTATATATTTTGCTCCCCACTCATCAATACGAAGCTCACTTCTCAAAATAATTCGTAATGCTCTAAACACATAATTTTTAAGCTAGAAGGCAATAAACAATATTTTTGAGGTAGAGAAATGAATAATTTGGAGACTCAGAAATTAGTTGAATGGACATTCTACTCCTGGACTAAACCAAGAGATCTCAATTCAAATAATTTTCTGTCAAGGCCACATATTCATTAATTTTAGTTAAATTGATAAACAGAGTACTGTAGGATTTCCATTATTTGTTTCCAATTTTAAAAAATTAATTAAAGAACTCTCACCACCAAAATATCACTATATATCGAGAGTATCTTATTTTAATAAGATAGAAGATACTCAGTAAAGCATGAATAATAGAGATACTCTATAAGCATTTGCAAGACAATAGCAATGGACGTTTCTCATTTGATTTATTAACTCTTCGTTATATGGTGTGGAAAAAAAACTGGAATATATTCTAGAGGTCAAAAAGACATACATTTACTCACATTTAATTTCAGCCTTTGAAACTATGATTCAGTGTTACTCCGTCTGGCACATTTTCATATACAAAGATACCCTTGGGCACCTTTCCACCTACAGACTGAACAGTATTGAAAATCATCCAGTTATGAAAAACAACAATTAGGGTTGAGTAATATTCTACTATAAATCGTTATAGTTAAGACTGAAATGACCTACTGACTCCTATAAAAGGCCAGTGGAACTAACGCCTATGGATGGTGTACTTCTGCTTTGCTCCTCTTTGAGAAAGGGTCGCCCAACTGTGCTGTCACCATGCCCTTTAGACTTTCTAGTGGATCCAGACGGGTCTGCTCACAAGCTGGCTCTGGTCGACTGTCTGGTGGAGGAACAGCCTTCGGGGCTGGGAATGTGTGCGGTGGGCCGGGAGCAGGAAGCAGCTTCTCTTGTACTCTTGGGAGCGTTTCTTCTGGAGGAGGTTTCTATAATGGTGGTGGAGGGTTGGGAAATGGCAACTGTGCTGGTTTTCTTGGAAATGAACGTGGCCTCCTCTCTGGAAATGAAAAGATGACCATGCAGAATCTCAATGACCGCCTAGCGTCCTACTTGGACCATGTGTGTGCTCTGGAAGAAGCAAATTCAGACCTCGAGCAGAAAATCAAGGATTGGTATGAGAAATATGGGCCTGGTTCTTGCCGGGGACTTGATCATGACTATAGTATATATTTACCAGTCATTGAAGATCTTAAAAGGCAGGTAAGAAATATGAATTTGCTTACTTTAATTACAAACTTTGGGTGTACATAATCTAAAAAAGAAAATATTAAAAGCGCTTAGCAAATGTATGTGTTGTAGAATTTGCTCACTCTATATTCCTAGTGCTTAGGGCAGTGCCCGGCAATAAAAATTTATAGAATTAATTAATGAAACAAATTTTTAAAATAGATATAATAATTTTGTTGACCTTATATATAGCTCATACTTTTTAATCACGAGTAATAAAAATATCCATTATTATAAAAACTTACACTTGGTCTCTTAACCTCTGGACATTTACTATCTGAAGAAAAACCAGATTAATGTAGAAAAAATAATACCAAAATAGATGCTTGATGAGTTAAGAAGAATCACACTTAAATTTGGAGTCTCCCTTGACTTGGAATTTGACATTTTGCACAATCTACCCTATTTAGATTATTTCTGTGACCACCTGTAATGCCAGCATTGTTCTACAAAATGACAATGCCAGACTGACCGCTGATGACTTCAGGCTGAAGTAGGTAAAAACAAAGTAATTAATTATAAGAAAGATAAAAATTAGTAGAATAAAGAACATATCTTTTGCTTTAAAAACTAACATGTTTTTATAAAGTCAGACTATATCACTGAAGAAATTAAATGTCTATAAAAAGAGCTATCATAAATTTTAAACAATATATTTATTCAACTGCTAAATTAAACACATTGGATGACAAAAATCAACTCTGAAGAAACAACTTCTCTAAAATAATATTCATAAATCAGTAAGTGTTCCAGAGCGTTTCATCACATTGCCATCGCAATGAGCTTCAGAAGTGTGTACAGACACCATATCTTTCATTATATAAAATGTCTGGAAAAGCTGCCCTTTGCACCTGCCTCTAATTACAATTCTCAAGCTCTTTAATAACCTTTCAGGTATGAAAATGAGCTTGCTCTACACCAGAGCGTTGAGGCAGACATCAACGGTCTGCACAGAGTGATGGATGAGCTGACCCTTTGTACAACCGACCTGGGGATACAGTGTGAAACACTGAGTGAAGAATTGACGTACCTCAAAAAAAATCACAAGGAAGTAAGGACCCTGCAGGGTGACTTCGTATAGCATGGGATTTCCCTCCTTGAGTCCGCTATTCATTTCATAGCAGAGTGTGACTCTCAGTCAAAATTTACCTTGAATATTAATACTGATGATCCCTTTTCCAGGAAATGGAGGTCCTGCAGAGTACGGCAGGGGGAAACGTGAATGTGGAGATGAATGCAGCCCCGGGAGTGGATCTAACTGTTCTGTTGAACAATATGAGGGCCGAGTACGAGGACTTGGCCGAGCAGAACCGCAGAGATGCTGAGGCCTGGTTTCATGAGAAGGTACAAATCATATACCAAGTGGCTTATATATTCAGTAGACCACCAGGCTGCTCACTAACCCTTCTGAAAACTGTGCTTCAGAGCTCTTCGCTGCAGCAGCAGATTTCTGATGATGCAGGCGCCGCCACAGTAGCCAGAAATGAGCTGACGGAACTGAAGCGCAATCTGCAAACCCTAGAAATAGAACTTCAGTCCCTCGTGGCCACGGTTCGTAGGAATCATCATTGATTTTAGTATGTGTGTGTGTAAATACATATACTCTACAACAATATATAACTAAGTATACTTAACTAAAAATACGACATATTAAATGTATACACGAATATATTTATGATCAAGAATTCTGTCCATAAACATTACTTCTGACTCACCAATCCCAAAACTTTTTTAAAAAGAAACTTTTTTCAATGAAAGAAAAAAATTTTTGAATCTTGTTGATGCAGATTTTAACTAAAAAGATTCAGACCTCGTACAAATATTTCTTTCCAACGTGAGAATGTTGAAAATGTGATCGTGTCATTTATCGGTTCCGCAGGCAAGCCTTGCTTTGTTCTTCTTTCAGAAACGTTCCTATGAATGCTCCTTGGCTGAGACTGAAGGCTATTACCACCTTCAGCTCCAGCAAATCCAGGAGCAAATCGGGGCGAGGCAGGAACAGCTCCAACAGATCCGGACGGAAACAGAAGGCCAGAAGCTGGAGTATGAACAGCTTCTAGATATCAAAATATTTTTAGAAAAAGAAATTGAAACTTACTGCACATTAATAGATGGAAAAGAAAGGTAATTATTAACTAGTGAAAATTAATCTTATGATTAAAATATTAATCTCACATCAAGTGGGTTTTCTCAGCATACATGTATATACCAATGTTATATCCTAGATGCCCTGCTCTAAAGATCATCCCTATACAAGTGAAGTGAAAACAGGTAGCAAAATCAAATTTCTAAGTATGTAAAGTATTGGTATCTATAATCGTATAGAGAACATTTAAATAGAATATTGAACAATTCCTATATTTCAGTCCAGGGGGAAAGTTGCTTTCAGTGACTTAGTGTGGAAGTACACTTCTTATAACATACTCTTTTTTTATTATTACTTCAGTAGTTACCATACATGCACCCTGTATTAAGTGGGTTATTACCTTTTCATTTGAAAGATGAGCAATGAAGATACAGGAAGATTTCATTGGAGAAGGTACCTACTGGTAGCCAAGAGTCAACATCCCTAATATTGTAAACCTGGATGCGAATGAGACAATTAGGTGAATCTGAGTGCATTGCTTAAGCCCTTTAAACCTCACTTCCTTTATTGGAAAAACTGTGATAACACGAAAATCGTACTCCTGACTACTGTACACAAGAGTACCTCACTACGTAGGTAAACTGCTTATGACAGTGGCTTGCACACAAAAGGTACTCAATAGTCAGTGGCTATTACTAAATACTTACCCACGGTCACATCATGAGTCAGTAACATCTTAGGCATCTTCCAAGGCCAGTGTCAGCCCTCTACAGCATATTCTCATATGAACCTAACAGTAATGGCTTCTTCTTTCGAACAAGGTGCCTATTACATCATTCATTGTTCACTTTTCTTTCAGCCCCTTTCATGTCATGTTATAGACAACTTTTTACTTATATATACTTCATTTTATTTTCAACAGTGTAAACTGCTTGTATCTTGGCCCTACATTTTCTACAGCACCTAGCCTAGCACCTTCTGCACAGCAGGCATGTTTACAGGGCAGGCGATTGACTGAAGAGTCAGAATGAGCACTTGAAGTCCCATATTGCTAGAGGAAAGTGATGATCTGGTCACAAGGGAATTTCTGATCATAAACATCCATTTAATCTCTTCTTTCAATATATCGAAGTCATGAAAAGCTTACTATCTCTTAAACATGAGAAGAATTTAAATCTTATTGGACCTAGTACTCCAAAATTTTTATCCCCAACTTATAGTTATTTATGAGCTCCCTAATGAAAGAAAAATGCAATAATTTTCTCTTCACAGAAAAAGCAAGTCCACGTGTTGCAAATCAAAAGGGTACGGGCCCGGAAATTCTGAAAATCAAGTCAAAGGTATAGAACGGTTTTTTACTTGGTGTAACTCTCTTAAACTCCAACAGTTTAGTAAATAAGCCATTTATTTGTAAACTAAATAAGACTGTTTCTAAGTTTAGTCCTAGTGAATGAAAGGATAAGAGCAAGTCATTATGACAGCTCTTAGTATTTGTATCCCATATTCCCGTAAAACAGATATAGTCAGGTTATGAAATTACTGATGTGGGGAAACAATCCTCCAATATCTTTCTTACTTAGAACCTATTATTTTCACAGTGTCAGTGCTTTGATAGAAGAGCAACTTTATTTTAAATCACAGAAATAGGGCAAGTTAGTGTTTAAAAAAAGACTTTACTTGCTTCAGGCCTCTACTTGCCTGATACATGTTTTAATCCATGTTTCATTTATGCTTTCAAATACCCATTGCTCTAAAAATAGTGGTAAACACAAGAAAAATATCCAGCCTTGCTAAGCAGACTTCAAATACAGTATTATATCTCCGTTTACTGCAAACTTGCAAACACCATTTTCGAAGAATTTACCCATCATGACTAAAGACCTTTCAACCTGTTAAGAATGAGTACTAAACTTTCATTCATTTTATTTTAGATTCAGAAGAAGAAACTGTTGTCAAAACAGTGGTCGAGGAGCTAGATCAACTTGGCAATGTCATTTCACTGACAGTCCACTCAGTTGAAGAAAAATCCTCTAAAATAAGCAATATTACTATGGAGCAACGAGTAGCTTCTAAAGCACCATAATGAAAGGAAAGAGGGTTATTTTTTTTAAAGCCTGCCTTTGCAAATTCTCATTGGCTGAATAACCCAAGGAAATCATTCCTTTCTGTTCTTAAAAATAAAAAGGCTAAAATTAGGTTTTCTTCTCTTCTTTTTCTCAGGTTCTTTGCATGTAATCTTTCTCAGTGCTACATATTGTATGATTCCATTTTTAAGACATTCTGGAATAGGCAAAATTATAGACATAGAAAGTGATCAGTGCTTTCCTGGAGCCTGGAGCTGAAGCTGGAGCTGTGAGGAGAAGCTACAAAAGGGGTACAAGGGAATTTGGGGGGTAGAGGGTAACAGAACTGTTCTATATCTTGATTGTAGTGAAGGTTAATGACAATGTGTTTTTCAAAACTCAAAGAACTGTATGTTTAAGATGAATTTTAGTATATGTATATTAAACCTCAATAAATCTGACTAAAAGGAATGGACAGAAAAATTAAGAAATCTATCCTGAAGAAAAAATGTGAATGTATCCAGCATTATTAATAAGAGCAAAAAGTTGGAAATAGTTGATAGTCCCTTAATATTACTTAATATTAGGTTCAGCCTTGAGTAACAGTAACAAAATAACAGGACTTTACACGGATAGAAGTTTATTTCTTTCACACACAGAAATCCAGAGGTAGGCTACTCAAGGCTGGGATGGTAGCTTTGCGCCAGAGCATTTTCAGAGACCCAGGTTCCTTTCAGCTTTCACTCTGCCATACCCACAATATGGCCCTGGCTCATGGTCCAAGATGAAGCTCCGACCATCATATCCAGCCATCACACTCCTTTCAGCAGAGCGGAGGAAAGGGAGGAGAAGGGATGAAGACTTGTGTCAGCTTCCTCTTAGATAAAGTTTCTAGAACACGCCACAGATACTTCTGTTTACATCGCATTGACTAGCTTAATCACCTGACCACGGTTAGCGGCAAAGAATGCTAGAGAAAGCAGTCTTTATTACAGGCAGCTATTGCCCAGTTAAAAACCAACAGTTTCTGCCACATTAGGCATCTATTCACGCCCTAAGGCATATTATGTAAGGTGAACAAAGCAAGTTACAGAACAACACATATAACACAGATGATTCACATATGGCCTACGTGTGTTTACATGCTATGTATGTGTGCAAATGCATAGAAAATCATCTGGAAGAGTGCACATGTCTAGAAGGGTAAATTATAGTTATCTGACAGAGTAAGGAGGATAGAAGAGGGGAAGATGAAGAAGACTTTAACATTGTATTTTATACTCTTAGCTATTTCTTGTTTGTTTACATCAAGAATGTTTGCATGCAAAGAGTAGAATGGTGGTTGCCATGATCATATCAGCATTTTTCACAATAGCCAAAGGGTGGCTGCAACCCAAGTGTCCACCTATTCATGAGTGGATAAACAAAATACGGTAAATACATGCAATGGAACATTATTCTGCCTTTTAAAAAAAGGAAATTCTGACACATGCTACAACACGGATGAACCTTGAAGACATTATGCTAAGTGAAATAAGCCAGACGCAAAAGGAGAAATAATGCATAATTCTACTTATTCCAAGTGCCCAAAACAGTGACTAGCACATAGTAGGTGTTCTATAAATATTCGTTAAATAAATGAATGAATGAATTCATATGTTCACGACAGCCTCACATAACAAATATTTGTTGAAATTTTGTCCATCAGCCTACTTCCAGATTTTTAAAATTTTTCCACAATGTTTAGGGTTTTCAATAAATGGGAATCCATAGCCAAGTAAATAATTACTTACTGATGACTCTCACCGAAGCTAAACCACAATGAAATAAAAACAGATGCAATGTTTTCTTCTGGGTTTGCTTCAAATTTTGCTAAGTCAGGAAATAAGTTAATGTCCTTCTAAACTCCCACAACCCATAACAGCAATTAGAGGTGTGTTCCTAATTACCAAAATAAGAGAAGGCAGCTACCCCTAGACATAAGTAAGTGTTAACAAAACATGATACATGTCAGCCAAACCAGAAGTTACTTCCCATCGGAAACAGTGGCAAGGGGGTGGGGATGGGAGAAGAGGGTGCGGACTGGTGATTAAAGGATGAGGTTGGGGAAATAATGATTCCAGTTCTGTTCACTAGCAGAAAAAGTCTCAAAAGCACCAAAATCTACTTTGGCATAATAGCCCAAAACTATGACGCCAGATTTTTATGGTGTGGTGGACTGATGAGTTTTATCTTCTAAGGAGGGAAGTAAAGAATGACTCACTCACAATTTTCAAATGTAATAAGGAACCTGAAATTGCTCCACCCAGACCCATTTCTCAGATAACCACCAACCTGAGGGCAACTGCCCTCCTACAGAAATGAGCCCAGCAAAGTTAGTTACTAATTAGGAAAAATCATCCAATTACGCTAACTTGCTGAGGCCGGCAAGCCACGTTTTACTCTGTGTAGGCAGAATTTCATCCAGAATACACTTGAGGATTGTCTATAAAAGGGCAAACCAAACGGTTGAGATGAGAAGACATTCCATTCTGGCTTTCACAGTACAGCTCTGTGACACGCTTACCCTGATACCATGTCTCTTCGACTTTCCAGTGGATCCAGGAGGGCCTGTCCCCGTCCCACCACAGGATCGCTCAGGCTCTCAGGTGGGGGAGCCAGCTTTGCGGCTGGAAATGCTTGCAGCATGTCTGGAATTGGAAGTGGATTCTCATGTGCCTTCGGGGGCAGTGCATCGGGAGGAAATGCAGGCGGAAGCAATTCCTGTGCTGGCTTTACCGTGAATGAGGGGGGCCTCCTTTCTGGCAATGAGAAGGTGACCATGCAGAACCTCAACGACCGCCTGGCGTCCTACCTGGACAACGTGCGTGCTCTGGAAGAGGCAAATGCAGACCTGGAACAGAAGATCAAGGGCTGGTATGAGAAATTTGGGCCTGGTTCTTGCCGTGGTCTTGATCATGACTATAGCAGATATTTCCCTATAATCGATGACCTCAAAAATCAGGTAAGAAATTTTACTTCGCAGTTTTTTGCACTTTTATTTCTAAATGTTCTTTTCCCTTATTCACTGAATACTCAAAACATTTATCATCTCCATTGGTAATTTCTTGAAGGAAATTTCAGTTTAGCATTGGAAATAAACACTAAGTAGATTCATCGGGTTAACTCCGTGATTTAAAAATGTCACTAACTAGTAACTATATTAATTTTTATTATCTCCATTTCCGAATCTAAAACATCCCACTCTTTGCTTTTTTATTGGTTGTGATAAATTGCCTTTAAAAAGTCAAATTCCTCATTTCTAGATCATCGCTTCCACCACTAGCAATGCTAATACTGTTCTACAGATCGATAACGCCAAGCTGACAGCTGATGATTTCAGACTCAAGTAAGTAGGCTCACAGAAGTAAAAGAATTCATGGAGATTAATAAGAAGCATTAAATGGAATTTATTTTTTGGTCCCTCCATTAAATATTACCAGCTCTTACTCTAACACTGTAAAACACTTGGATTTAAGATAAACAGAATGTTATGACTTTTTTACACTTTGGCTATAAGATATTAAGTATGAACAGCTATAAAAGTAGCATTTGATGCCCTAGTTCTTTTTCTGCTAAAGAAATACCTCAAAGAAAATAATAATTACTATACAATAAATTTTGAAAATGTCTCCTGTGGCCAAATCTGCCACTTCAAAATTCCAGAACTCTAGCATTTGGTTATTGACTGGTGACTATTTCTACAACCATATAACAAATTGCAAATCGCTAACACTCTTTAAGGTATGAAAATGAGCTGGCTCTTCACCAGAGTGTAGAGACCGATGTCAATGGGTTACGCAGAGTTCTGGATGAAATCACCCTGTGCAGAACAGACCTCGAGATTCAGTATGAAACCCTGAGTGAGGAGATGACTTATCTCAAAAAGAACCATAAAGAGGTAAGAGCTGAATGTCTACATTTCACCATTCGTCTGCAGATGCTACACCTGATGGGAGATAGTGTGCTTGACGTCTTCAGGAAGAAATTGGTCTTAATGATCCATTTTCTTTAGAAGTAGAATATTTGTACAGGTTCACTCCTGCTCTCTCACTGTTTCCCATGGGGGAAAAAAATCATATTTTCCAGGCCAATCAGGGTTACAAGAGCAGTGTTTGGCTAGGTAATTATCGCTAAGTCGAAATAGCACATTTAAAAGATGACATCGAGTTAAGTAAAATGCATATACCTTAAGGACAGCTTAAGAAAACTAGATCTAAATGTCTATATAAAAGTGGCAGATTTAAAACACTTAAACATTTACTCCATATACACATTAAGTATAGATACTTAATATTAATACATATTCTTAATAAGTATGACTATAAAAATAATGAGACTGAAATTAAACTGTTATATCAAAATTTATACTTCCAAATAAATAGTGTATGTCCACAGTGGTCACAGTGGGCAGCTAGATTCAAAATCAGATTATACAGCCACTACTGCAGACACATCTTTGACATTACTTTCAGAACCACGGTTTGCTGAGAAAAATTTTTATTCTTTGAAAATGAATTTAATATTTTTAAATAGCCAGAAGCCTTCTATAGTCGAGTCAGGTGCATAAAGCAGAAGATCTAGCTAAGAATGCTGCTTAGTCATGAGTCTGTTTTTTAAATATAACTGCTTGAAGAATAATGTTTATATGGATATACAGTTCAAGTGTGGCTATAGCTCCTGGTAGTTACTCAACAAATTTTTCACGAATTGAATGCAATTGATTTTTTTAATGACTCACAGACAAACCCACGTGCAACTTTTTTTCTTTTTCTGCTTGAACTGGGGAAGTTTTCCCTAAAGATTCAGAAGTAAGAACCTCGCCTGGAGATAGAGAAGGTATAGAGACCATCAGTGATGAAAGAATGCTAGAAACACCTGAGGGACTTGATGCCCAGAGGAAAGAAAGCCTCATTATTGTCATTAGGACCAATCCAGGGCCTGGGACATGGGTGGAGAGGAGGGTTCCTGCAGCAGAGAC